TGATGTGGCGAAAGGCGCGGAGGAGGGTTCGCCTTCCGGGACACGCATTCACATAGGTCTTGCCGAAGAGGGCCATCTGGCCACTGGCTGGACAGCGTCAGCTTGCTCCATGGCGCCTAAGGATCGTGTAATCGCATGTCACGGTAAAGATCATTTCATGTGTCATTGGCGTGCTATTGAGACTTCATGACGTACGCGGCTGCTGAGACCATATGGCGTCACCTGCCCCTCACCCTGGCAGGAAGGGCGGGCACCGCGGGGAATCGAAACCCGTACCTATGGTCCCCCAGATGTATGGGTCGATTACCCGCTATTTCCCTTCCTTTTCCAACGTCCTTTCGTGCTATGTCGGCCAGCGCCCGAGACATGATATATCTGTTAAGCCTTCATTACAATAAAGAGATGGCGGTTCGGAGTTCAAGTAACAAATCATTTTCAGCACTGAATACGATTCAAAATCCTGTTGCACGACATGTTTTTCTTTCTGTTGTGCGTATTTGTACTTCAATTTTCTAGATGAGCCTATGGTTTGAAGGAACATTGCCGAACCAAAATAACAATCTGCTACCCTCCTTTCATTTTTCATGAGACCACTATGGTAGAGAAAGTCGGTAGTTCACGTAAAACAAGGCTAGTTTCATAGCCTTCCATTGGAACCAGACACAATTATTTTGAGGTTTCGAGATCAAGTTGTTCAGCTGCATCCTCCATGGTAAATTTAACTTCACTTACCTCAAAGAGCCACAATGTTGCACAGCATGGCGGATAAATCAGAGGCATAAGATGACTGATTTGTTCAATCCGCGTTATAAGTACCTCATATTTTTAATGTTATTTCTTGAACGAATCGTGTTAAGGTCTCACAGCATATATTGCACGAGTTATTTTGGCCGATTAGTGTTCTGCGACCATTGCGTAACGCACACGTTAAAAAGCGGAGTGGATGAAAACCATTGTTTTCATAGTGTTGAGCAAGAAGTCCATTCGCATGTCTTCCGTGGAAGTCGCCACTTAAATCGCACTTCTGGTCTATTCAAAAGGCCTTGCACAAAAATTATCACCACCTGAAGCGGATGCGTCTGAACTACCCATGGGTGGAAAAATTCATAAAAGTGGCATGCTCTCTTGCAGAAACTAACCCAGCAACTTATGAAGTGGACACGTCACCTGTTTCATTTCAACAGTAAAACGCCGGCGTCACGACCGCACGTCTACCCTGCACGCCGCTTCATCTACAGGAAAGGTATTTGGCCATCAGCTCCCAGGGTAGTTGTAACTGAAGTTGACTTGGTGTTCTAGCATGACTTTAATTAACCTCATTGACCGGACAGGGTCCTTACATTAAGTTAAAACGTTATGCTTAAGGCATACTGCCATCATTATCGACATGGTGGCTTCGTAAGTTGTAAAGTGCACTTGCGAAGAACTTTGTGCATATAGATGAGACAGCATAATAGCCTTATTCCCAGTAGAATAAACAGGTAAATGGAGAAACAGGTGTAATGTTTCGGCTGCATGTCTTTATCAAAACGGGTATCGGTAGTAAATGCGAAATTGCCTGCCGATCCTACTCAATTTTTCAATTCTTTTAACAGCGAGCCTACAGTTTTTACGGATCAACAACATTCAGGGGATTAAATAAGGAACAAGTTGTCAGCCATTTCCATGGTGCAGTGCACATCTCACTGAGAAATGAAATGCGCGAAAAATACGTGTACATGCAAATGAATTCAAGATAACATGCATCACGCATAACACATCATTCATACACGTAAGCGATTTCAACCAAACGACTTCAAGTAAACAGGCATTACGCATCGCACATGACTTTTACATGCAAACGATTTCAATCAAACAAGCATCGTACATCAAGTGTCAGGCAACACTCATGCATGAAAACGATTTTAAACTAGCATGCATCACACATCAAGACACTAGTCACTGTCGTATAATCGACCGTGGCTGAGCTCTGTACGTTAAAGGCTGGTCCGCCGACTTCTTATACAAACTAGATTCACTTCTTTTCCTGTCTGGATGTTCCCTGTGCTCGGTAGATGACTTTGAGCTCTGAAAGAGTTAAAGGGTCCGTATCTCCCTGGATTTTAGCCTCAGCGTGTTCTGTCAAAAAACGGTCACCGATATAGTCACTCTCTGTTTTGTTTTTAGGACCTCCCAGGTGTTCATTATAACTCAAACGAGAAGGGGCATGGAACTCCCCGACTAAAGACTATGTCCCCCCACGCTTTTCACATAGTTTACACTTAATTTCGCAAACCACGTCGTTTTGCGTGCAAAGTCCTTGAAACACAAGCCCGCAAATGTGATACCCCTTGCACCTCGGGCACTTAGGCTTCGAGACTAGAGGATTTCATCAGATACTTTTTTAGTTCTTTCACGCCATGCGTACTGACAGATTTTGATTTCTAACGACATATTTGATTTTACAAAACAAGTGCTAGTCTATATAAGGCAGTGTTAAGTCAATGTATGTACCCAATTCAGCCTTTACAATAGAGCACACAGGGGACAGAAAGGTCGCCCCATATTTGGATGCACTGGTGACGATGGAAAGGAGGAACAACCGCACCGTATTTTAAACGGAGGTCTATCAAGCCCACTAACTCTGGTATAATTCTGCACTGCGAATCTGCGCATCCAACTTTCAGTAAACACAATATATTTCGTGAGATGCTCCATACGGCTCTAAAGAGCTCATCAAGCAGCGAAAAAGAAAGAACATAAACACAGTATGCATTTGCTGTTGGGCAATGGATATTCTCCACGACCTTCCGGTAGAATGTTGGAAGAGGTCACCAAATCTAGAGCACGTGGGGCGATGTATGGTAGGAAACGGGAACACATAATGTCAACCGACGAATTCTTTACGCTACCTTACATAGATGAGCACCTGCTTTTGAATACCAAACATATCGTTAGAAAATCAAAACTGCGCGTATGCATAGCTTGTAACGACAAGAAGCTAAACAACGTCTGTGGTGAAATATTCATCTCAAATCGTAAGTGCCCGCGGGGCAATAGGTGCCATTTATGCAAGTCTGGGTGTCAAGCGCTTTGCACTCAAAACAACGTCGTTTACGAACTCAAGTGTAAACTTCGGGAAAACCAGGGGAAGGATATCGTCTATGTCGGGGAGTCCATGCGCCCTTTTGGTTTGAGATATGATGACCACCAGCGAGACGCTAAAACGAAGAGAGAATATCCCTGTTAGCGACCTTTTTTTGGACAAAACGCGGCCAGGCTGGAATCCAAGGAGGCACGGACCATTTGCCCCTTTTAGAACTCAAAGTCATCTACAGAATGCGACCTCCATCCGACCTTTCCGGCCACCCGGGCCCGAGCAAATGTGGAAGGCCTCAAAAGATGGAGTGTACCCGAGAACGTTATCAAATGACCCACGACAGCAGCGTAAGGCCCAGGCAGGAGCGGGCAGCGCTCGCGTTCGCGCGTGGCGGTGGCACAGCTGAACTGGGGTGCTTCAGTGAATAGCACATGCCCCCCCCCCCAGTTCGAGTTAACGGGCTCATCCTGGGACTGGGTCGGAAATCCCACCGTGTCGTACTGGGGGTCCTGACTGGCACAGTACCCTTTCGTAGTCTCAATGTGAACAATCGTCATAAGTTCTCACTCTCGGTTTAAAGCTAGGACTCATCAAAGGTGCAGGCAGGGGGGGGGGGCGCAGCGGTCACATGCCGCCAATCAAAGGGCCAGAAAGAGGTTGCAATGCCTCTGACTTGCATCCGTACAGAAACGTCGCATGAACTAGCTTGTACATACCGGTAGAATTGTATATTCTGGTAGCCACTTTTTCAGTTAAAGATTACGACATATACAATCAAGACGGACACAGAGCCACCCAAAATAAAGAAGTCGAGATACGATTATTTTTTCGAAGATGGAGAGGCTTGTTAGGCAACGTGGTTCACATCACACCCGGCCGACGCGTAGACACTGGCTAGGCTGCGACACTGGCTAAATACATGAAGCGTTTGTCCAGACCCTACGTTAGTAACAGGGGCGGCCGAATGTCCGTTTGAGTTTCCATTATGACCGGCACCTAACCATATAATCAAACTGATAATGGCCGAACCGTGCTCTAGTCAAGGGGACCCATCACCATAAGGAAATGGCGGATCTCATTAGTGTTGTAAATACAGTGCAAATACACCTGGGCTGTTTTGATCTCACTATAAGCCGTGATTTTAGAATCTTTGTTCTCTCCGCAAGAGCCAAAACCAAATTTCAGATACTGTTGGAGACTCGTGGGAACACTGTTATCTCGAGCTGCGGTCGGTTGGTCGCGTCCGCACCTGGTGGCGAGAGCCGGCCGCGTGCCGGCGACTGTTGTGCGCCGGAGAGCTGTTGTCAGGTCGCTCTCTGTAGCGAAGCCCCGCCTCCAGTGCCAGCACCACACTCGTACGACTGGGAAGCGGGGAGTGGGAGCAGGGGTGTGATCCGCCCATCGCTCGTGACAGTCTACGCTAACCTTTTTCAAAAATAAGATTCAAAATGTGATGTCTTAAATTTATTTGTTTAATTTCATATCCACTTCCAATTTAATATATTAAATAATGTCTTGTTTGCATTTGAACACTAATCTGACGGTGATGCGGGATTAGTCGAGGCATGCTTGTGTTTGCACGCCTTGGCTCTGTGCAGGTCGGGGTCCGAGACCCTCCTCGAACGCAGACAGCCCAGCCACAAGCCTGCTCACGGGCTCCCGAGGCCTTCCGCTGGCGCAGACAGCCCAGCCAAGAGCCTGCTCACGGGCTTCCGAGGCCTTCCGCTGGCGCAGACAGCCCAGCCACAAGCCTGCTTACGGGCTCCCGAGGCCTTCCGCTGGCGCAGACAGCCCAGCCAAGAGCCTGCTCACGGGCTCCCGAGGCCTTCCGCTGGCGCAGACAGCCCAGCCAAGAGCCTGCTCACGGGCTCCATGCACGTTCATTTGCTCTGTCCACACCTGCCACCTCAACACACAATACCTCTGTGCAGTTACATATATTCAATATCACAAATAAATAATACAAACTACAAGCACGCGCAGTGAGCAGCGTTTCTCCACACGGGGAGCGCTCCCCGGAATGTGCCGGGCTTCCAATCCGTGCCGAGTCTCCACCCCAAGTCCTGTGGAGCGCGCAGGGCCTACAGCAGACACCCGGCGGCGCCACCGCGCATCGGGGCCTGGCTGGCGCCGGCGCGCGCCACCGCGCCGCACCACGTAAATCAACAAACCAATGCCCGTCCCTCTTCACCTCCTACCATAATCCCGTATCAACAAGTCACGCATGTGCACTGCGGCGGCTGCTGCCGATGCGCGACAGGCGCGCGACACGACCACATATCAAAAGTAAAAACACGGGCCGGGCCAGCCGACGGTGCCGAAGCAGGGGGGATGAACGGACGGGGGGGGGGGGGGGGGCTGAGGGACCGATCGCTACCGAAAACGGAAGAGCGGAGCAGTTCGCCCGCATGCGGGAGCCAACTCCACGAAGTGATCGCGGAGAGGGCATCCGCCGCACAAGGCGGGCAGTTTCCGCGCGTCTTCCTTCCGAAGCGGTCGTACTACCGACTGAGCGTATGTACAAAAAGCAGACCGATTAGAATTGAAGGGGCGTGGAGGATGCGGCCAGGGAGGGGGGGGGGGGGGGCGCAAGAAAATGTTCGGGCGGGGCATCCGGTGCGGAAGTGGGGGTTGGGAGTGGGGGTGGGGGCTATTGCAGCAGTTATCACATATATATGTATAGAGAGTGGGCCACTACATGCGTGACCCAACGCAATCCGCAATACTGGCTTCCTTCGGCTCTCTATGTACACTGGGGCGGCGGCCGATACATCTCCACCAGCCCGCGAAGTCGAGGACGCGACTCAACCGGTCCGAGGAGCCGTGGAGGCGACCCGCGGCTGACGCGAGGCACTGCCGCCACCCCACAGCGGGCGACGACGGCTGCCGGCCGCGACGCCCGCTCTTCTCCGTCGGCGCGGGCGCCCCGTCGGCGCGCCGCCGTCGGCGCAGACACACCAGCGGGGCAAGACAAAAAGGAACGAGGCCCGCGCGGCCGGCGCACACACACGGGACGGTGGCCGATGAAATGGTGAACAGTGGAGACACGTGAAGAGCAGTCATTCAGCGACGAATCGTGGCCGCGGAGGGAGCGCGGCGGCGGAGTCATGTTCCTGGCCAATCACAAGCCGCAACGGCAGTGTGCGAGTGACGTCATATCTCGTCAGACGAATCAAAACTACAAGCAGGGTTCGTAGCCTACCCCACGCTTTGTGACCAATCAAAAGCCGCGAAAGCAGCACGGGTGTCGTTACCTACAAGTCTGCCAATCACGAAGTCGCGACGGCGACGTGCCGGTGACGTCACCCAGTGTCCAATCAAGAGTTGCGACAACAGCACGCGACGTTAGCGTGCGCCACAGGCCCGCCAATCAGTGGCGAGTATGAGACCCGGCTCCACGGTGACAGTCGGAGACTCGGGCTCGCGCAGATCACTGTCTTCTTCGCTGCGCTCGCGCATGAAGTGGAGGGCGCGCGTGCGCGCGACCAGCCGCCAGGGCTCCTGGCGCGTCGCGGTGGCCAACAGCTGGTCCCGATGGTTCCCGGCTGGTCCCGGCGGTCCACAGCTGGTCCCGGCGGTCCACAGCCGGTCCGGCCTACTGCGGCGGGCGCGCGCCGGCCGGCATCGTCTGCAGCACAGTCTGAGCCGGGCCGCCGGCGCCCTGCTGACCCTCCAGCGAGCGCAGCAGGTTCTGCACCACGTTGAGGTCCACAGCCACCGGTCGGAACTCGTCGGCCTCGTCCAGGTCCGTGCCGGACGAAGCGCTGGCGCCCGACTGAAACACGGGAGGCGGGACGGTCAACCGGGGCCGCGCACAACTCCCAACCAGTGCACCAAGAGCTATCACCTGGACAAACCCAGCAAGGGCCAGCTTGGCTAAGCTTTCTAATCCGTAAAAATCACGCATCGAAAAACCATTAAACACACAACGCACATCATCTTACAGTCCATGATACTGTAAGATGAGGCCCTAACGAACATCAAGCGAAAACACGCTATCCTGCAATAATTCCGTGACGGCACACACCACCCCGTGACATCGCACACACCTCCTTCCTGACGGCGTTCGTGGCGCGCACGAAGCTCTCCGCGAGCGTCGTGTCACGCAGCTCCTCGTCCATCTCGGCCATCAGCTGACGCACGGGACCACCGTCGGCGGGCTCGTCCAGCAACTCGTCCAGCGTCGCCGAGGCCTCCTCATCGCCGTACGACGACATGCCGGACGAGTCGGCGTCGCTCCAGTCGGCCTCGTCCAGGCCCAGGTCTGAGGGACGAGCGTGGCCAGGTCAGCCATGAGGGGGAGGGGGCACGAGCGACACGACGGACACGTGAGTGGCCACGTGAGCTTGTGATCCTGCATCGCGTCCAGCACAGCCGCCGGTGAACGCGCTCGGCGATTGCCGGTGAGCTGATCGCCTGTTCTGCCGAGCGCAGCGTCACGAACATTGTGCTTGACTCACGATACGAACAGCTCGCTCACCATACCACAGGACTTCGTCTGTCTCAGGCCCAAGACTATGACCCGACCTCGACTCACCCGCAGCCCAAACCTGACACAGGACTGTTGATTAATACGACCGTACTGAAACCCCGCCGGCGAGCCGCCTCGCGCTATGACCATGACTCGCCCTCTACACAGCGTCACACGCTCCACTCCGACTGACTCTCACCCTGACTCTGACTCATTCTGACTCACCCAGCATGCCGCGCATGGCGTCCGTGAAGCTGTCCGCGTTGAAGTCGATCTTCTGGCTGAGCGTGGAGACGCCGGAGGCGGTCGAGGCCTGGCTCAGCGTGGACACCTTGCGGGCGGCGGCCGCCGACAGCTTGCGGCTGGGCTGGCGGCGGAGCGGACGGCGTCAGTCACGGCGGAGCGGCCGTCGGAGGGGAGGCCCCTTCAGCGTGACGGGCCGCGCCCGGCAGGCGAGGGTCAGGTGTGAACTCGAGGCGGTAGTGTGGCCCTGGCTGGTGTTTATTTCTGATCTGGCGGCGTGCACCCACGACGCATATGTTTATGGCGGTGTTTCACGTGCTGATATGTTTAAAACCCGTTTAAGTTTCTGAACTAGCGCACGATGTGCTCTTAGTGTCTGAAACATGGCTCGAGACAGTTCCTGTTTGCAGCTACATTTTAGTAGGCGGAGGTCCGCAGACTCTCACATCCAGCTGCCGATCACGACAACGCTGCCCAGCCGCTGCCACATCAGCCGAGCGGCAGCCGCTCGGCCCGCTCTCGGCCGCCACTCGACTCGCCCTCGCCGCCCGCCGGCTGCTCACCTTGCGCGCGCGGGAGCTCTTGCGACTGGCCGAGTCCGCCCCGGCCGGCAGTTCTACGCCGTCCAGGCCGGAGAGGCGGCCGAGGAAGTCACGCAGCTCCTCGGCCACCACCTCAGGCTGCTGCTGCTCCAGCTGGAACTGGGCCGCCAGCAGGCCGTCCAGCTGGTCCGGGCTCACTTCCAGCCAGGCGTCGTCTGTGGAGGGCAGAGGCGGGCGTTGTGACCAGAGGATTTGGCTGGCGATCCCTTGAGGGGTCGTGGGAGCTGAGAGGCCGCAGAGATTTCACAACTTTTTAATTGGATCCATGACTTAAACCACAAATCATGTACAGAGCAAAATATCTCTAAAGCCCCTGTCTGACAGAGCCATCTGATGGTGATGTGGAGATAAGAGCTTTGCTCCATTTTCGGCATCTCTCCGGCACAAAGGAGGTAACGGTTCATGACACACCCCTACCACATCAAAGGGCGCACCAATCGATGGCGCAATCTCCTTGCAGCAGATGACGCCGCTATCGGCCGCAATTCACGGCATCCGCCCAATGATCAAAACCCGCGCAGCCCACGCGCGCCAGTGCTGTCACCTACCGTCGGCGGGCGGCAGCTGAGCTTCGCGGCGCCGCCACTCGGCGTGGTCCACCTTGATCTTGGCCAAAAGCTGGTGGACGGCGTCGCCGGGCGCTGACTGCCGCGTCTCGCTCAGCATGTGCGTGACGTAGTACTGACGCGCCTTCTCCGTCAGCGCCGAGTGCTGCCGAGACCCCTCCAGCTCGTCCTGAGGACGCGCGCACCGCGGTCAGACGGAGAACCGAGACGGACGCGCCGGCGAGGAGGGAGGGCACACAGCGGACAGTGGGTGCTCAGGGGCTCGAGTGATTCTCTCTGATGTCTGGGCCGTGGGGGGCCATACGAGTTTGACCTCAACGTGGGATGAGGCGCGGACGTGGTGCGAATGGGATAAGGCTTGGCACTGTGAAGCCTTGGACTTGGAACTGTAAAGCCTTTCTAAGACTGAATACGGCTGATACTATGCGCTTACCCCGCACCAAGCACACCTTCAGGCTTAAACATGGCTGAGATCTAGTGCTAATGATCGTAAAATGTGCATTGGTGATAACTCTCACATCCGTCAGCAATATGGTGACAAGGGCGAGCAGGACCAAACGCAACGCTGATAAGCAGGTAAATGTTCATTCAGCACCAAAGACATTACGGAAATGTCAGCATTACAAATGATACACTGCAAAGAAGGAATGAGGCGCCATTTGTGGGTATGGCGATCAGGCGTGTATGCCGTGATTATGCTGAGCCCCGAACGACCAAATTTTACCAACCGCATTCCAAACGGCCCTGACATCGTCTCCCGCGAGAGGATTTCAGTAGCCTTGAAATCGTTTCCCACAAGCGGATTTCAGCACGCAAAAATGCCGGCACAACAGGGGCCCGTGAAATGTCCCGTCGGACAAAACAGCGCTGCCTCCTTCCCGGAAGAACGTTAGGAGCTGCAGGGAGTTTTGGCCGGCTCGATCCCGGAAATCCTGCGGGCCCCGGTGACCGGGCGGCCCGACACGTCCCGAGCCTCGGCCGGAGACGCAGCGCTCGTTAGCAGACGTGTCAGCGAGATAAATCACCGCCCCGCCGACAGATACAAGGCATGTGTCCTTTTTATAATGAGCTTTCCAAAGCCCCAAATCCCCCCATACGCGGCCGGTGACTTTCACGTGCTCCCTGGCGACAGCGGAACTGCAGCCGCCCACCTGCACGCCCGGGATCCGATCAACACCACGCCGAGGTGACATCGACAGGCGGCGTGTTAGCTGCACGTCACTCAGACGCATCCACCGCGCCGCTGCGCCCCGCCTGCCGAGCACTCACGCCAAAGTATCGCTTCTGCTGCAGTGACGTCACGTAGCGCTGCCACCTGACGTCATCACGGAGCTCGTCCAGGCCGGGGTCGACGTTGGCCAGGTCTTCGGCCGGCCTCGATCGCGAGGCTAGGATCTCCAGACCGCACGCCTGGGGGAGGACGGTCAAGGGTTAGCCACGGGGCGACGTGTCGACGGTGACCCTCCAATACACGAAGACACGGCGAAAGACTCGCGGCGTCGGCGTCCGCATCCTCGACGTCACGTGATCAAACTGAGAAGTGTCACCCCTACCCAACGGTTGGACGCCTGGAAACCGCCGCGAGAAAGAACAGGCAAAGTTTGAGGACGAGCGCCGGCAGCGCACCGAAACGCGCGCCGTCTCCAGCGGCCGCGTGACCGCGTTCAAACGCCGCTCGTGAGCGGCGTCGGCCAATCTCGCGGCCAATCACGGCGGCCGCGGCACGCGCGGCAGCTAACGCCAGCCAATCGGCGAACAGCGTTTCGTCAGCCGCCGCGGCCGGCCAATCGCGGCTGGCCGTCGAGCGCGGATGCCAACACGCCAGGAGGCCACTGAGGCGCGCCGGTGGCTGGTCAGCGCCCGGTGGTGCCCGCCGCGCGCTGAGTGGCCGGGCGGGCCGCCGGCCGGCTCGCGTGCCACACGCCACCAGGTGCGCTCGGCAAAAATCGACACCATTTTTTGGCACCAGCATCAGTGACGACGCCGCGAGAGGGGGTACAAAAAAGCGCCGCGTGCTGACGCAGGCGGGACGTGGGCGGTCGGCTCAGGCCGTCACGGCTCCCGAGGCCGTCACGCTCACGCGACCAGCGAGTGCCTGACCCCGCAGAAGGGTTAGGGAGATAGAGAGGGGCGCGCCTCCAGGCGGGCGGGGGCCGCCGTCGAAAGGCTAACGGCGTACGGGATTCTGCCGATGACCACGTAATGGCACACGATCACTCATCGCCAGCGTTATCCGGCGGCGGGCCGATCAGGAACTGGACAACGGACGGGCAGCGGTCAGGAGCTGGACAGCGGTCACGCAGCGGTCAGGAGTCGGACAGCGGACAGGCAGCGGTCAGGAGTCGGGCAGCGGACAGGCAGCGGTCAGGAGTCGGGCAGCGGACAGGCAGCGGTCAGGAGCCGGACAGCGGACACGCAGCGGTCAGGAGTCGGACAGCGGACACGCAGAGGTCAGGACGGCACAAGCCGGTCCTTGCCGTGTCCGCACAACCGGTCGGGTCAGGCACGGAACTGATGCGCCACTGGGCAATCTGCCGGCATAATCTGAACACCACACCAGCCGGCGAGCCCCGCGGTTACTCCACCGCTTACACAACCGCATCACACGTTAATTCCGGCCCTGGCCGACTGGACAGGCAAACCGCGCGGCGACGGAGGTCCCACAAGCCGCTAATCACGTCCACGGGCGGGGAAACTGCCTGCGCAGGCCACCAACGGGAGCTTTACTGGCCGTGGCACACTGCGGCGGCGTTACATGACCGAACCGCGACGAACATCGCGCGATTCGATTACGGCTGGCTGTCAGTATGGGAGAGCTGCAGAGCCGTGATCGGGTTTTCTGACGGCATAAACAACCCTTTTTACAAAGTGCTCTTGCATGCCACCTTCCATTTTTTAGTTCCCACACAAACCTGATCCCGCGAGAAAATGCCTGCCGTTAAACAGCGCGTCATTTCGTAGTCGGAGAAAGGCTCCATGACTTCATCAGCTGCTCATTAAAGCCTATTTCACGATGTTTGCGGAGTACCCGGTGATTCACAAACTGGATGAACACTTTTTGAATGAGCCGCGTAGACCAAATTTTGTGCAAGAAATGGGCGTTCAGCTAACAACCAATCCAATTGGCAAAAATAAATGCATTCCATAATTACACTGAGGCAGCGTTCGCAACCCTAGAGCATACTGATGAACCCAATGGATCATCCCTCCCCAGAAAAAAAACACGCAGCAACCACACCTAGTCTTTGATGGCGTAGCCAATGCGCTCACGGCAATTTCCGAGGGGATAATCCTGTTTCCGAGCGCACCCCGCCAATTCCCACACACCCAGTCAAATTTCATAACACCGTACATGGGCAGCAGGCCTGCGGCGACGCATCACACTCACAGTGCTAGCGTTCACTGCTAGATGTCAGACTCACCAGCTTCATGCCGACGTCGGCGGCGCGGTGCCCGGGGTCGCCGCCAGGTGGCAGCTGCCAGCCCGTGCGCACGTCCGGCCGGTAGCGCTGGTGCACCAGCTGGGCGTACAGCGTCTTGGTGAACGTGACGCACGTGCGCACGCACGTCTCCGGCGGGAAGAAGCGCATGCTGCGACAGGCCTGAGGACGGCGAGACCGGCTGCCGGTGATGACGGCATTCCGGTTCCGAGAGTGGAAATACGAGTTCGCGTTTACCGTGACGAACACAGCGAGGCCAGCCGACAGGTAACAAGAGTGACTGCAGCAGACTGCAGCACCGAGAGGACGGTCCTCAGGATCGGCCCGCCCGCAGACAGGCGACAGCCTCGCCTCACAACACAACCGCGCAGACCACAGACACGCCTCCCCCCCCCTTCCCCCAATGTAACGCACTAGCTTGCGCCGCCACCAGCGCCAGCCACGCCACGCCCGATCTGCGGCCTCACCTTGAGGTCGATGGGGTCGCGCAGGTAGAACGCCTGCACCGCCGCCGGC